CCCTCCCTCCCTCCCCCTCCTCCCTCCCTCCCCTTCCTCCTCTCCACCTGCTCGCCCTCCCGTGCAGTAGACGCTGAGACCTCCCCGACCGTCTGGTTTGCTCGACCTCCCAGGGAGTCGAGGTACTCCGGCGTTCCTCGCACCAGCACGCTCTGCCGTCACCGTTACCAGCTGCTGCCATGCGCTCGCCAGACCTCCAGCGTCTCTCCCTGCGCCTTCTTGAGTTTGAGCGTCACGGAGGAGCCCTGGGGTCCGATGATCATCTCGCGCACTTGCTCGATGCTCTTGTCCCGCGCCTCCACCCCGTCCACGGCAACGATCACATCGCTCGCCTACACCCTCGTCAGCCCGCGTGCCTGAGCTAGAGGAGCATTGAACCTCTATCCTCCCGTCGCGATCGGCTGCTCCTCCCTTGACGCATCCCTTGATCACAACACAAAGAGCAGTCGGATCGAACTGCATTAGCAGCCCTACACCTGTCAAGTGCCGTGAGGGACTCTACCATCACACCCGTCCTGTCTATCATCTCCAACATGCTTCAGGACTCTTCAACTATCTCCTCTCCAGGGCATTAGAGACAAGAGCAACTGGAGACAAGCTATCTAACATGCCATTCACAGCCCTATCTGTCCTGCACGTCTTTCTATCCATAATACAAGGCTATGCTGATCCTCTCGGCCTGCAGTGCTCCACAAGCCTCACTTCCCTATGTCTCACTCCAAGTTCAAGGGCAGATGTCTGGGTTGTTCTCCTCACTTGCATTTCTTTCCTCTCCTCTCGCCCGTTCTTATCCTTCTTCTCTTTCGCTGTCAGTCTGCTCTCCTCCCCTCTGCCATCATCTGCTGCTCTGCTCTGCTCTGCTCTTCTGGCTCCTTACCTCCACTTGCTCTCCTCCTCTCACTCCATCCATGTTCAGCGCTTCCTCTTCCACCCTCCTCCAGCGTCTCCCCACCTGCCGCCGCCATCGTCGCCTTGGCCAGTCTCTTCAGTAGCGCCGCCGGTAGCCCCGGGAACGCCGGTACAGGATCCGAGTTAACTTAACTTTGAGTAAAAGATCCGATCGGCGGTCACAGGAGTCCGCGCCCGCCGGGCCCGGGCGGCCGGGGCCCGGCGGCCCGGCGGTCTGAGTCGGACTCACCGACTCGGACCTGCCACTGTACCGTACGGTACGCCGAGTTTGTTGAGCCCAGTGTACGGTAGCCCCCCCGCCCCGGGGGGGGTGACCGTGCCGGGTCCGCCCCGAGTCCGGCTGGACGCCCACCGTACGGGGGCATGGCCGGCTCACCATCCCGGCGGGGGGCCGCGCCCCGTCGGACTCTGGGGCCGGCCCAGCCCGGCACGGCCGCCCCGCACGGCAGTGTCGCCGGGGCCAACAGCCGCGTCATGTCACTTGGCAGTGACCGTACTAGTATAGTACCGGCGGTTACAGTGACTGGCGCGGGAGCTCCCCGTGAGTCACAGACTATCATCGGGCTCCAATTGAGTCAGCTTTTCAGCTCTTCCCGCATCACTCGCCGTCACTAGGGGGATCCTTGTTAGTTTCTCTTCAGGCTCAGATGGCTCAAACTGTCTCAGTTCGCTGCTGCCATGATGGCTGAATAGAGTCAGCGGCCCCTCCCCTCAGGCCTCATTCAACTTGTTTCTCTATGTATTGAGTAGCGCAGTCACGTTAAGAGCTCAAAAGATGACTTCCAACCTTGCAGGCTCGGGGTAGCTGCCCCTCACCGCTCGTCCTCAAAGTCCTGCAGAGCTCTGCTGCTCTCCTAGTCTCGCTGCCTTATCGCTCGGTCCGACGGTCACCATTCTAGGACTCTCGGCTCTACTCGCTGGCTCATCCTCGAGAGCATGTAGTCTCGATGAGCGTCCAGAAAGGTCCTGGTGCAGACAGCCTGGCTGATGTCTTGCGCCTGCTGCTCCTTGGCATCTGAGAGCCGCTCGGAGCATGACAGGAGCCAGGGAGGCACGTCCATGCCCATGAGGACGCAAGCTTGCTTCTGCATCTCCAGGCGAGCAAGATCCACGTCGATGACGTGGCACTGACAGTCGATCATGCGGCGCTGACGCTCGACGTAGTCAGCCGGGGCTTCACGTGTCTCCCTCCTCATCTTCTCCTGCGCGTCCAAGAGGCTGCGCTTGGCGGCCCGGTACTTGAGGTACTGCTTGGAGGGGTCCGAGCAGACTCGGAGGGCTGCGTCCTTGCTGATGGGGCTGCGACTGCTGTCGCGGACTTGACGGAGCACAAAGGAGCAGGCGATCCTCTCTTGCTCAACCTCCCGCTGCATATCCTGCAGTCTCCTCATCTCCGCTCTGCGTCTGACCTCGCGGGGGTCGAAGTATCTGAGCATGAAGGGCTCGCGCCGCTCCAGCATTGCGGAGATCCGCTGCGAGTCCGCTCTCTTCCTGTCCTCGTCGACAGGCTGGCCGGGAGCCAAGTGCCTGTGCGCGTACTCGACTAGGCTGCTCTCGATAGGCGACTCGACTCCGCGGTACTTGTCGATGACGTCCTTGATGGCAGGCTGTAGCTCCTCAGAGAACGACAGCAGGTCTGGCTTCCCCTGACAGCTGCTGTGGAAGTGGTCGATCGATGGTTTGAGGCACCTCCAGCAGAACTCGTGCCGGCACTTCCTGCACGTCATGTGGTCGCATCCTCCCATCTTGACGATGCGATACCCGCACTTGGTACAGGGCTTGGAGGTCCTTGCGATCTCCTCCTGGTCACTGGGAGCCTCTGCTCGGGCCTCCTCGCGCTCTTCGCCGCTGGCGATCCTGCTAATCCTCGCCTTCAGGGAGGTGAGAAAAGCTTTATCGCACATGCTGTGAATGTCTTCAAGGCTCAGCGACGTCGTCGCCTCCGGCGGAGCATGGTGCTGCGGGTCCTCTACCGCCGGGTTGCGGATCATGCCCTCGAGCATCTGTCGCGTGCTCTCGAACAGCTCTCGCTTCTGCTCGACGATCCGCAGACGCGCATCGAGCAGTTCGACGGCGACCTTGTCGGCAGGACGAGCATGGAGCTGCCGGGAAATGGCGGAGATCTCTAGCTCCTCCCTCCTCTTGATGTTGCTGAGCCGGTCTCGCATGCCTTGCATAGTCTGCTGCAGCTCCTCGTCCACGTAGTCGCCTTCCTCCTCAAATCTCCTCATCCTCCAGCGCACGTATTCATGGAGCTCAAGGCGTTCCTCGCCCTCCAGTCGGTCTTCCCCCCTGTACAGATCCATCCAAAGTAGTCGTGCTCGCAGCCGGGGGTCTTGCTGGGCTTCAGCGCCTCTGTCTGCCTGCTCGGTCCCTTGCGCCTCGACCTCCTGCGTCCTCGTGTCTGCTGCTGCCACATGCGTTTGACTGCCGTCAACTGTGGGCGGGCGAGGGTCGCGGGCGGCGGGCGGCGGGCGAGGGTACCGTCTGAGCGCTGCGGGAGGGTCGCGCAGTCTCATTCGTCTCAGCTCATCACCCGTCGCATCGTACACCTGATCGAGAGCTCGCAACCCCTCCTCAGTCAGGACTCGCTGCTCGCAGTCGACGAGAATGTGGGAGGGAACCAAGCTTCCGGACGCCATCGAGCAAGCAGCGCAGTAGGTGGCCATGCAGCTGTCGCACTTGACCGTAGCCTCGCTCGCCGCATGTCCAATCAACACCAGCCTCGAGACGGCCTGGCAGCAAGGGGACAAGCAGGGCAGGTGACCCAACTTCCAAGAGTCGTACTTGCTCTTCTTGCTATCGTAAGCCTTGAGCAGACGCTGCGCTTGCTCATCGTCAGCGTAGATGAGGAGCAGAGCTTGGATGTTGTAGCCGACTATGGTGCTGCATCCGGCATGAGGGCAGGTAGGGGGCACCAGGGACTCTTGCTCGTCATGGAGGACGTGCTCAAGCAGCCTCTTGAAGCAAGAGGCATGGAACATGTGACGGCAGGTCAAGCTCACCTTGTTGCTCATGTCAAAGTCTGTCTCCTGGCAGATCACGCAGAAGTACTCGCGGCCTGACTCCTCCTCGTCCTCGTCGTTCTCGTCGATATGCTGCTGGGAGGAGCATGTGTTGCAGTCCACAAAGCGCTTGCTGAGGAGGTCTGTCATCTTACCAGAGTCTCCGCACGTCTGATCCCATATGCTGCGAGCGCGCGTCAGTGAGCTTCTCATACCAGCACATGCAAGGATCAGGTACCTCGCAGCATCCTCGCTGCAGACCTCCTGCAGGAACTCGTACTTCCGTTTCATTGGCATCACAGCCAGAGTTTCGGAGCTGCTCGGAGCAGACATGGAGGAGGAAGAGGCTTTCTGATCGCAAATGCAAGTAGGAGAGCTATGAAGATCTTGATTGAAGAAGAGCCGAAGATAGGGAAGGGAGGGAGATGTAGAGGGAGGGAGCTCGAGCAGGGGGTTTGCTTGGAGCGGGAAGCAGGTTGGGAGATATACCAAGGGAAACTGTAGGTAAGAAATGGTGGGTCTAGAGGGGTGGGGAGAGAGATATGTAGGGGTGGGGGGTATGAAGAGACGGGAGGTAGGTAGTTGATTGAGGCAAGGTAAGGAGGTAGGGTATTTTTGCAGTCAGCGCAAGGTGATGTTTCCACAGGTATATATAGGCAAGAGAATAAGGAGAACGAAGGAGCGTTCCTGGGGACAAGTAGGGGGTAGGGGGTAGTACCAGGAAGATCCAAGTGGAACTTGCTCTTGTGGTCAAGTTGTTTGTGGGGACTGAACTT